AAAAAAAAAAAAAAAAAAAAAGTAGGTGCTTCTTCTTGGTAGGCATCCAACTATACAGGATACCAGACCATTGGTGCTTGCATCAGGGAAGCCCTTTGAAAATAGTTAATTCCCTTTTTTCTACATTAATTTGTAAGTAAGCTTATTAGAAGCATATGGAATAAATACAAAGCCAAGACTTGAACTCTGATATAAAAGACCACATAGTAGTCTTTTGTCCTAAGAAGATAGCAGCCAAGACAAGTCATGTTGCTTACTCTGAATATTAAGTGAAATTTTAGGATGGAAGAATACTAGTTAGAGCTTTTCAGTTTTTTCAAAGTTAAATTTAGATTTAATTAGAATTTAAAGCAGATTTCTGTGACATCTAATGTATCTATTGGGTTGGCCAAAAAGTTCATTCAGTTAGTGAATCGTTCAATAAAATTCTTGGTGAAAATGAAAAATGTCTTTTATTTTTACTTAAAACCAAACGAATTTTTTGGCCAACCAAATATATATTTAAATTCCTATCAGTGTTAACTACAAATAAATCTTTGGGTTGTCTGCTACTCTCTGTCGTTTGTGCATGTAATTAAAACTTAAATGTACTTCTGTGGTAAATGATGTGGTTGCTTCCTCTTTCATTTTGCTTGTCTAGTAGTGCTTAACCTGCAGGCAAAGCACTTCTCAGAATATCAGATTTAGTGCTTAAATTTCATCACTTGGAGCCTGAAGCACTGAGAAAAGTTAGCACATGTGACTATTTAACAAGGGAATTCAGCTCTTCCTATCTATTTCCTTGTTATTCAACGAGGGAATTCTGTTCTTTCTGTTTACTTCTCATATGTTGATAAGTATATTTCTCTGAAAACTATGTTTCACGTTATATTCTTTTTTTCTTGTACAATTTTATTTTTCCTTTCTTTGGAGTTTATTCAGTTTGGCATGGTAGCTCGGCGATGGCATAGTAGTGCTTTATTTATCTGTGATTGTGCCACTTTTCACTTTCTTTTTTCTCAGTAGAACTTAGAAGCATTAAACACATCTCTCTAATACTTAAATATTGAAATGAACTTTTTCTATGATGTGTGACTAGTTGGTAATTTAATCTCATCTGCACAGATGTAAATATCTGAAGGAAATGATAAAATTTTGTTTTCCACAATTAAAAAGAAAGTTACTTCTCATCACCAGGCATCTAAAATTTCTCCTCTGAAAATGCGTTGGTAGGGAAATAAATACAAGAAAAACTAAAGAAAGTTTTGAAAAATAAATGCAAGTGAATGACTTGAAAATTTGGCCAAAATTAGTGTTTTATAATCAGTGACCAGATCTTTACAGTGAGGTGTATTCTCTGTCACTTATGTTGCACAAATCTACTAAAATAGCTAGCTAGGGATATACTTTTCATAATTGTAACCAAACGTTTCCAATATAGTCTTTAAAAAAAAGGAAGGCAGTATAGGCCCAGGGAATAAGAATCATCTGAATATTTCCTCCCTGAGACTCTGTACTTGAGTAGAACCACTCCTGTAATGTACTGATTAGGTGTGCTTGTTTTCAGTATATTGCATGCTTTCTCAAGCATTGTTAAATTGCCATATTTGATGAAAAAATAGCGAACTGCTATTATTTAAAACATGTATTAATCAAATTACATGTTTGATTATATAAATACAAACCCCTCATCATTTTTATATTTTCTTTTTTGTTTTACTAAGATAGATTTATTGTGACAACTAAAAGTAATAATAATACAAGAGGCAACTCAGTGTTTCAAATGATGAAATAGTTCCATTTCAACTAGTAAGAACCTTTACAAGATCATGGCATTTAGGTTTAGGGCATCTGTCTCTTTGGACCAGATCATATGTTATTTGAATCTACTATGGTATTGTTAGTGTGTTTCATAAGACATAGTGCAGAGCTGCTGTGATCTTTAAATGTTAATGTTCTTTTCTTATCACTTTACTGTGTAGATACCCTTCATGAGACCCAACTCTGCCACAGCTCATCCTCGGAGGCAATCCTGGAAACCTCTTTTATAAGTGTGATTTTAAAAATGTGGATAACACTCTCAATAGAGTATATAAAGTAAAGGAGAACAGCTATCTTGTCTTTCCCATAAGCTTATCACTGCAAAAAGTTGCCTTTGCTTGTCAGGTTTGGATAGAATGTAATTGATTGGTTTGTTACTAGGACTGACAAGGCAGTTAATTTGCCTGTGTGGATTTTTTTCTCCTTTTTTTCTTCTTCAACTTTTTTTTCTTTTTTTTTTTTGCACTAATCAGAAACATTTGATATGTGCATTGTTGAAATATACTAGATAATGTCTTGTCAGAATTGTCCTATTAAGTAATGTCTTCCCCTCTTGCTTCTTTGGCAAATGATATACAGTATTTGGACTTACTTAAGAGTTACTGAAGCCTCTGGGACTTACATGCAATGTGCTACTTGTTGTTGAACAAATCTAGTAACAAGAAAGATAATGCATTCCATTAGTCTGCTATTCTGTTTCATCCAACTTAATACATATATTCATATATGAAATGCTGCATTGGGAAACAACTGTAGACTATATTAAATGTTACTTCTATTTATAATATTCAGCAAAAGTGAAAGACTTGTGAAAGCCTATGCCATGCTAGTTTTGACTCATTAGTTCTAGTGTGAAAGCACTAATATTAGTAGCATGCAGTTTTTACAGCTTCAGATTTTAAGCTTGTAAATAAGAATATATCTGTGTTGATCTCTAGATATTTTTTAGTAATAACCAAATATATTCACTCTTTATTGATTTAATACAAACTTTCTCTGTTCAGTATAATTTTATTTTTCTTAACCTTAAGTATGAGGTTACAAAATAAGGAGAGAGATACAAAGCTTTTGACTATACAACCTGCCAACTGAAAGATCTTCATCAACATTTGTATCTTTCCAAAGGTTTACAGAATTAAAATTTGGTCTTCAAGCTTTAATGAACAAGTCTTAAATCAACGACAGAAATATGTTGAATATTTCTTCACTTCATCTTGAACTGATTTAGAAGAGACTGTTTGCTGATATTGAAATACATATATACATGTAAATTGTCAACATGTCTCTTGGAATTTCCTGATTTATAAATGTGGTTTGGGACATCTTTTCAGGTATAGTGACATTGAAAATAGTTCAAACATTAGGAATAGAGTAGGAAATGTTATAGATAATTAAAAACAAGTGTAAATATAAAGTTGCTGTATGCTAATAATCTTTAGTTATACTAAGGAACCATATTATTGGATATTTAATAAAAATAGCATGTATATAAAATATGTATAAACTGAGATTATTAACTTATTGAAAGACCTAACATTGGAGGAAACATATTAATAACCTGTAGCAAAACCAGTAGGCTTTCTTTTTTTGTTAGAAAAAGAACTCATTATTTATCACTGCATAAGCTTAAGAAAAAGTTGGTAGTTATTACTATTGCTGAACTCCAGCTGATTTTAAGAAAAATGTCAGATTGCCGTTTCCTTAAAAAAGAATATGCTAGTGCATTTGTACCTGACTCTCCTTTGATATATGGTAAGATATTACTAGTGGTCATTTTAATTTAGATTTTTTTTTGAAAAATCATTAAACCTTGTGGTTTTGGTGACACTATTAAAGTCTTTCCACCTGGTTCTGTTTAGAATACCATATTATCATCATTCTCCATCTTACTCTTCGGTGGTGGATATATGGTTCCATATTTGGTGCTAGCCCTAAGAATCTTTGTCACACATCACGAATATAAACCACATAATATTCATAAGATCATTGGTCCTGCAAATGTGTATTTGGAGTAGAACTTTTGAAGAGAGTAGAATGAAACACTTTCTCCTAATAATCTCCTAGACACTCTCATATTTCCATGGTACAAAATTAACCCTTTTCTGTAATTGGTCCAGTTGTTATTCAAAGGAGATATTAATGTGTATATCAAGAGAATATACACTAAACAGTTCATATTTTACATACATGTATAAGAGAAAGCAGTCCGACAGGTAAATGATGGTTATTTGTCGCATGATAGGGAAAGAAAAAAAACACTGAAATATCAAGAAGTAAAATAAATAACTCTGAACTACAAGAAGAACGACATGGCGGTATATAGCAGTGGTTCTCAAACTTTATAGTACATCAGAATCAAGGATTTGTTTAAAAGCAGATTGCTCACCTACTCCCCTCCTTATTTTCCTCCTCATTTTACTCCCTCTTACTTCTCCCTGCAGTTTCTGATTAAGTGGGTCTGGGATGAGGCCTGAAAGTCTGCATTTCTAAAAGTTCCCAAGTGATGCTGAAGCTGGCCAGGGACATCCTTTGAGAACCATTTGTATATAATATTTTTAAAAGAATCATGGTGTTGTGGTTGACATTGATTGATTGAATGTGGCTTTAATCTTGTTAAAAGGGCCCTTAAATTTTCAAAAATACTTGTTTCTAGGTAAAAGAGATTATAGTAGTTTATAGCACTTAGAGTATAACTTCTTTATTATACATAAGTTTAGTTAAACAGGTGTTTATTTTATACCTATTTTGGACACAGCACTATTTTAGGTACAGAAATTAATCAAGGAACATAGCCTTTGTCCATAATTCACTAATTCCTTTGTTAGGAAAAGATTTGAAATTAGGATTATGTTTAACATGAAAACAAAAATTTAGCCTTAACCTTTATCCAGTTTTGTTTGTAAATGAAATTTATTTATCATTTATATATCATTGTTATTCGTGTTTCCTGAGTGCTTATCTGATTTTACAATTATAATGTTAAAAATAGATCACTGACCAATAAATAATAAGAATATTCACACTCATTATCCTATTTCCCTGTTTTTACATCCTATTACTTACTAGATCACTGTTTTTAAACTCTTAATGTTTTTTATTTGACAAAACTTACCACTGTTTTACTTGATTCTCACTATGGGAATATTTTATTAATATTTCACCAAAATCCATTCAAGGAATTCAGAAGGACTCTGTAGCAGAATGGAATACTAACATTACTAATTTTTCTTTAAATTTTCTGAAATCATTTTGACAATTCAAACTTGTTTAAGAGACTCAGCTTTAGAGTTGCATGGCATATGAAGGCAGAAATTTTTTCCTACCCAGTCAGCACTTTATCAATTTACATAATACTAAGGATTGCGATTAAAAATATTTCTGAGATAGACATGCTTTGCAAATACTTTTTTTTTTTTGAATAAACATATAGACCTCTTTCTCCCAGTACACAGTGTTAAGACTTTCTGCAGGCCTGCTGTAAGATTCACTGCTGTTCAGGTATATAAGATATAATGAAACTGGATGTTCATGCTGGGCTTTGTGAATAAAATGAGACTGACCCCCAGCCATTATCTCATTTATCTGATTTACATTGTAAAATCAAGATCTACACTATTGATTAGAGAATAATTAGTTAATTATGAGCAGGGAAATACAAAGTTATGTGGGGCTTGAGCACAGCAGGTTGTACTGCTGAAAAATTTCCAAGGACATGAGCAGATGGAATTCAGTTTATTAAAGAACAAAGCAGATGTGTTTCAGGTATGAAAATGTCTAATCATTCTCTCATGCTGTGAAGAGGTACTTGACCTTATTGTGTATTTTTATATGAATTCTTTTATTTCATGTTTTAGTTTTGCCTTTCACTTTTAATCTTGTAACTTGACTACTGCAGATGTAGGTAACTGAATTGATCCTATTATTTAAGTGATCATTAAACATGAATTTGGATTTCAATAATTATCCAAATATTTTTTCCAGTTAATATACTTGACAGAATATTTTTGTCTTTCCTACCACTCATTCATTCATTATTGCATGTGATGAAAGTCTATAGTGACATTAATGAAAATATGTTCAAGACCTCCACATTAGCCTTTATTTGTGAAATATCATATAAAAGACATTTTCTAATTATTTAGAAAGTGCTCATATAGGTGATTTGCACTAAAAGTGTTGTAAAAAGGAATAAAGTTTGCCTTTATTGATATTAAATATTATTCTAATATTTGTAGAATGCAGAATTTTGTGCAAGCTTGTATTATTTTAAAAGTGATTTAATTCATGGGCCACAAACCTGCATTTTCTCCATCTGTTAAAAGGAATAATTGAAATAATTGGCTACTGTTCAATGAAAGAGTCTGTCACTACTGGTTAATACATTTGTGCAGGTGTTTCAGTTGCTAGTAAGATTTTATGTAAGTAATATTAAGACCAATTCTTTTGGTCATTCTTCTATAGAATATTTGCATAGAAATGATGAAAAAGTAAGAAAATCCAGCCTGTCAATTCTCTTGATATTTAGTTGTGAGTTTTTTTTTTTTTAATTAAATGGATGTAACAGTATATATTTTCAAGGTTGGTTCTTTATTTTACTCTATATAGACTTGGAAGGGACCTAAATCAAATGTTCATTGACATAAAAAATAGCTATGATTATGGATCAACCTGGTCATAAAACATGTACATTACTTTTCAAGTCCCATGTTATGGATTTCCCTGAAATTTAGCTGATCATCTGGCTATAAATTATATATATAAGAGGTGCACCTTTTTTTTGGTTAGTTTTGAAAAGTTTATTTAGTGTACTCTTCTAGTGAAATTATCAGTTGGAAATTAAGGGAAATTAAGAAACCCTTTGGAACACTGGCCTGTCTCTTTAAGTGTAGACAGAAATAAATAAGTTGTTTCTTTTTACTTGTGTGCATATTCTCAGCAATCAGATAAACGCATGACTGGTTGCTCCCATGGATCATAGGACATATGAACATAAATCATTTTCTTCCTCTTCTATGTCTAGGGTGCTATACTTAACCATATCTAAGTAAGCATTTTAAATACATATAGAACTATGTTTATTTGGTCACTGCATTTTGTTAAATGAATGTGTAAAAGACCATATACATATAGCTGCTTTATTATTGACATCCGTATCCATTATGAATCTGATGCCTAGGAAGTTGTATTTAGTAAAAAGCTAATTGAACAATGAGGTTTCCTTTTCTTATAAATGGGATTTATCTTATCTCACTTACAATTGTAATTTTAGAATGTCCCATGTTAATGTGTACAGTTTTATTAGATGTTTAGAGGATATTCTTTAAGCATCCAGTTTGCATTTTATTAAAAAACATAGTGTATCTTTATAGGTTAGTTTTATATTTTTTAATTTAAGACATTGTCTTCCTATTTAATATATGTGCTATTGTTATAATAGTCTGTTTTTATTACATAGACATTTGTGTTATTTAATAAAGTATATTGTGTTATATCACAGCTTTTGTGGGTCAATGACTGCTTTTGCACAAGATTTATTATTTTGATACATTAAATATGTACTATATTATGTGTTGTAATTACGTGTTTCCAAGTATGTGTAAGAAGTAGATGTAGAGGTCATAAATAATAATTTGGTCAGTAACTACTTCAACTCTATTTCAGCTTTTAGGTAGCAGAATGAGTGCAGATCCTTACGAGCTTCTGATTTTTGAGTTTTTAAAATGATCTATATTTGTGGGCCTCCCTGGTGGCGCAGTGGTTGGGAGTCCGCCTGCCGATGCAGGGGATACGGG